TCTTAGTTTTCTTAAGTTGGTAGATGCCAGGGGCCCAAGGTAGTTGGGTGTTAGAATTTATTAGAGTCCTGTCATCCCCTAAGCCTGCAGGTCATTGCTCTTAGTTCTCATCCATAGGGCCCTCAAGTCCTGTTCTAGATGTGTGGGTGACTCCTCTCTTGCCCTCCTTCCACTTTGGTAGTTTGAGGAGCAGCAGGCTTTTGAGAAGAGTCGCAAGTTCCTTCGGCAGCTGGAGATTTGCTTTGCAGAGAACCCTTCCCATCACCAGAAGATCATCAAGGTCCTCCAGGGCTGTGCAGACTGTCTTCCTCAGGAGATCACTGAGGTATTCCTTCCTGTCCTGTTTCCTTACTATCGTCATTTGGACCTCAGGCCCTTCCCTTTTCTTTCTCCTTAACCTGTACCATATCCTTTTGCCCCTGGAGTACCAGGGATTCCTGGAGATGAAGAAGGTAGGGGTTTCTTAGGTTTACTTAAAGCGTAAAGCATAAGGACAGAGAGGCTGGCCACTCAAATCCAGAGCCTGACTGACCCTCAGGGGTTCAGGCGTGCTTTCAGTGCTCCGGAAGGGATGTTCAAGGAAGGAATGTTCCAGGAAGGAAGTGATGAGACTGGAAGGGATTCAGCCTCCTTCCTCCGCTTGAGCTCTACCCTAGCTGGGGACCAGTCAGGCAGCAGTAAAGAGTGCTATCATTGGGAATCACATCTGTGACTAACACTCCTCTCCTGTGGGTGAGCAAGCAGAGAGAAGTTTGACAATTCTTACTTATCAAAGAGAGGCCTCCATGTGTCTAGGAAAGCAGAATGTAGGAGTGGAGAGAGTGGTTTGAAGGGTGGTCTGGGGAGGCTCTGGAGACCCATCTTTGCCTCTACAATTTTCCTCAGCTCAAGACACAGATGTGGCAGCTCCTCAAGGGCCACGACCACTTACAGGATGAGTTCTCTGTCTTCTTTGACCATCTGCGCCCAGCAGCTAGCCGGATGGGTGACTTTGAAGAGATCAACTGGACTGAGGAGAAAGAGTATGAGGTACAGGCCCTGAGGCTGCCCTAGGGGTGTGAAGGGGAATGAGGGGGTTACTTGGCGCCACCTTCAGGAGGGAAATCAGCCTAGAGTCTGCACTCAGTGGCGCCAAATTCTCCTTAGTTTGATGGCTTTGAAGAGGTGGCATTGCCTGACGTGGAAGAGGAAGAAGAACCTCCCAAGATACCCTCAGCCTCCAAGAACAAGAGAAGAAAAGAAGTTGGGGTTCAAAATCATGATAAGGTACACCAGGCTCTAAGAAATAGTTTTTTAAATCCATGATTTTTTTTTTGTTTTGTTTTAATTATTGTATGTCTTTACTTTTTCTTGGGGAGAAACTGATTCTTAGTAGCTAAGTGATGTTGGATGACTTATTTAACCTGTATTTCAGTTTCTTCATCGTGAATTGGGATAATAATGATACTTATGTCTTGGATTTATTAAGTAGAGAGTATATAGTTCCGGGAGCCTTCAATATGTACAAAGCGCTCTCTCAAGGGACTTGGAAGGGGCAGGGAACTCAAGGCACAGGGAGTCAGAAACAAAGATGAGATCATATCTCACAGTGGAGCTCTCCAGGGACTGCCTCAAAATCTGTTTGACTTATATGTGTCTCAAAACATCTGGACAATTGGGATATGTGTCTTTGGGTCACTTAGAGGTTGTTTCAGGGATTCATAATAGGCTTCAATCCAGGTTGGGCATTGATTTTCCCAGGCAATGTAATGAGATGGTGTGTTATGAAAGAGAAAGGGGAGGAGGTAGTGGGAAGGGACCTCTTCAGATGGCTCACAGCCCAGCTTCCTCTTATAGTACTGAAAATACATGATTGCTAATCAAGCCCAGGTATCTCCTAGGAGACTGAGTGGACAGATGGGGCCAAGGACTGTTCCTGTTCCTGCCATGAAGGAGGCCCTGATTCCAAGCTTAAGAAGAGCAAGAGGAGAAATTGTAGCCACTGTAGCACTAAGGTGAGGAAGGTACCAGGGTGTTAGGACTCAGGGTATCGAGAGACATCAGGGCAACTCTGGGACATGCTTTCTGAGGTATTGCTTGCTACCACAAACTTGAACCTTCTTGATTTCTTAAAACATATAACATCTACAAATAACAAGCAGTATACACATAAGTGTACATACGTAAAATAAATAGAATCTTTTAGAAATACATGATGGATCTTGTTTTTGTTTTTTTTTTTTGTAGAGGGACACACAATGTCTTTGTTTATTACTTTATTTTTTTATGTGGTGCTAAGGATTGAACCGGTGCCTCATACAAGTACTCTACCACTGAGCTAGAGCCCCAGCTCCTGGATTTTGCATTCTAAAGAGAATTCTGTAAGGCAAGCTTTTGGAATTGGAAAAGAAAAAAGTCACAGTTCGAATATTTCCTTCTTATTTTTTAATGAAATAAACCAGGAATGTAGATTCTTAAGGTCATTCTGGTTCTTTAGAGTTGGTTGGCAGCAAAAAGGCAACCCAAGAGAGGGAGTGACGGGTGGAACCCCACACTGTACTCCGAGCCATTTAAATGTCCCTGGAGCCTGTACATATTTGTTGACTTGCTAAGCAGCGGGACAGGGCTTCTTTTTGGTGGGTCCTCTAGACATAGGAGGTTTGGATACGCTTGACCAGAAAGCCATCCCTGCAGGTCTGTGACAGCAAATCCTACAAGAGCAAGGAGCTCCATGAGTTGGTGGGCAGCAGCCCCCACCGAGAGGCCAGTCCTATGCCTGGTGCTAAGGAAGCAGGGCAGGGCATGGATGTGGTGGAAGAGGAAGTCCCCGAGGAGCAGGAGAGCACTGAAGTAACCCAGAGCAGGACTGGCAGGACCACCAGGAAGGGAGAGGCGTCCATTCCAGGTGAGTGATCTCACTGCTGGCCCTTCTCCCCTTAGTTCTGTTTCATTCTCATAATTTAAGGAGGAACCTCTGAGCCTGGATGAGGAGCAGAATTTCCAGGAGTGGACATAGCCTCTCTCTCCCTGGTAGACTGACGGAACTCTACTGCTACTCTGCCTGCATTTTCTCTTCTAAGGCTTTATTTCTCTTGGAGAATCAAGAGTGCTGTTGAGTCCACATGCTACAGCATTCTCTTTCTGTGTTTAATTCTGATGCCCTTGCCCTTATATACAAATCCTTTCTACTTATATTCTAATGGCTGGATCCTTATCAGCTTGGTATCCTTATGTCAGTGACTTTACCCCTCACCTGCAACCCACTCTTTCCAGTGGAAACCTTATCACAGTAGCTCAACACAATGTCTCTCTGGTAGTTTTCAGGCCCTGGGTGCATCCTGATCCTGTCCGTAGCCTCAGATATTTTTAATTTTCCTCCAAAGCAGGATTATTAGCGGGAAGCAGTTTTTCATCCCCTCAAGAAGAAGTGACCCTTACACAACAGCTTCTGGACGGCCCACCATCTTGCTCACCAGAGTCTCCTCAGCTTCCCCTACAAACTGGAGCTGTACTGCACCCTGGGAGGAAGAACCAGGCTGGGCCTGAGATTCTTTCCTGCCCCAGTGCACATTCTGGACTTCAGAATGAAGGGAAAGGCCAAAAGGTGGTGGGTGACTCAGAGGATTCCATGCTGGTTTGGGATGCACCAGAAACTGAAAAATTGCCTACTGCTGCTGAGACCCCTGCTTCCTTCCTGAGTCCTGTTTCCTCAAGGACCAGAGATGTAGGGAGAAGACATGTGTCTGGGAAACCAGATACTCAAGAGAACTGGAAGCCCTCAAGTAGAGCTGAGGTGAAGACAGCAAACCGGATGTCTCCCGTCCCTGAATCTTCATCAGGAATTGACACCTCAAAGGCTTCTCCTGAAGCCCCAGGAGGGGTTTTGGCTAAAGACAGTGGAATACAGGGCAGGGGTCCAGAGTGGGAGCAGCAGCCAAAAGCCACAGAAGCTACAGTTTGTGCCAACAACAGCAAGGTCAGCTCCACTGGGGAGAAGGTTGTCCTATGGACAAGGTAGGTGAGGATATAGGAAGTATTTGAGAAGAGTATAGAACACATCTATGAGGCTCTACAGGATTAATCCTGTTTGTGTGGGTTACAGGGAAGCTGATCGTGTGATTCTCACCATGTGCCAGGAACAAGGAGCACAGCCACAGACCTTTAGCATCATCTCTCAGCAGCTGGGAAATAAGACCCCTGCTGAGGTAAGTGTGAGAGAGAGTGTGTGTGTGTGAAGGTGGGGATGTCCTGTTTGAGCCTCAAGCCCAGAGGAACCAAGAAGGTATGGCAAGGAGGGGAAGGGGTACCAACTGGAGAGACAAGGGCTTTGTTAAGGGTGACCTCAGGGCCTGACTTCTTGGGTGGTGGTGATTCTAGAAAAGAAAGGGCATTGGATTCAGAGGTAGAATCTGGTTTCCATTACTAGTTGTTTTGGGGAGTATAACTTTGGGGAAATATTTAGTCCCTGGAGTTTCCTTATGTAGAAGGAGGACATAGTTCTCACAACCTTACTGTGTAAACAAATACAAAAGTTTTAAAAATTGGTACCTGGAGCTTGATAATATCACAATGTTACCAACTGGGAACAGTGAACGCAGCCCTTCTCCTGTGCCAGGTTGCCCACCGTTTCCGAGAACTCATGCAGCTCTTCCACACGGCCTGTGAGGCCAGCTCTGAGGATGAGGACGATGCGACCAGCACCAGCAACACGGACCAACTATCTGATCATGGGGACTTGTTCTCTGAGGAGGATGCAGATGAGTGAGACTCTGGGGACACGTGGATTTATCACATAGGACCAGCCCAGCAGGCCCCTGCACTCCAGGAGAGGCTGCTTGTACTTTGCTTGTGCTGTCCGGAACTAGAGAGCAGAGCTGAGGACACGTACACACCAAGGCTGGAGGAGGGCCTTGGAGCTCCACATCCTGGGCCTCATTCAGGATCTTTCATGAAGAACTTATAAATCCACTCTGTAAATAGCATCAAGGGACAGTGGGGCTTACTCGACAGTTTTCTTTTTCTGATGGTACATATTTATTGTTCTGTGATCTACTCACAGTGTTTCCAAGTGTAATAAATGCCTGTGTCGTGTTGCCAGTCCCAAGACACTAAGCTCCTCTGCCTGAGGACACTGGGCTCTTAAATTCAGCAGCTTTTATTGCCAACTAGCTCTGGCCCTCCCCCCACCCTGCCCGGGAACTCTAGTCCATGAGGCCACCGCCATCCTGGTAGCACTGGGCCAGACTGTGGAGCTCCTGCAGCAACTCCTCCATCTCATCCTGTTCCACCCCAGCATCCAAGAAGCTGGCCCAGCGTCGCAGGTCCAGTTTGGTGAGCTCTGTGGCCAAGCCTCCCAGGGTCTGGTGCAAGGACGAAGAGGAGCACAGAGCCCCAAACACTGGGATGCTGTGCACTGCTGTGGAGGGAGAGAGGAGTGAGACCAAATGGATCATATTCTTTCCTGGGACTCTCATGTCTATAGGGAAGTCTGGGCACTTGAAAGACTTGACTGTAAAGCACACTCGGTGAATTTTGTTTGCTGTCCCCCTTAGTATATCAGTACTCCCGAGGAAGAACACTTCTCAGGAGCCCTAGGGCAATAAAGAAATGTTTTAACTGTGAACATTTTAAGCACTCTTAATCCAGGAAGGGAGAGTAAAACTGCTCCCACGCTTGATATCTTAGGTTTCTTCACCTCCTACGTACCTGTGCCCCTGGGGGGACCATCCAGAACCATACCCTGCTGGCTGAGGCTTGAGAAGAGGTAGGGGTAAGGAGGAGCCACCCTGCAGGGAGTCAGCAGCAGATGGGAAGAACTGGGGACAGAGAATGGCAGTTCGGTGAGCAAGAAGTCAGGGGAGGGTGGAGGTCCTTGAGGAGGGCAGAGCAAGCATCACACTGACCTTGTGACTCTAGGCTGCTGCTGATGTAAATATTGAGCCAAGACTTCTTCTCCAGTGGTACACGCATGGAGAGGAGAAGGCAGAGGTGTCCCTGGGGTGAGCTGACTATCAGAACAAAGCCAAAACCACCTTTAGTCTGTGGCTGCTTAATAAGAACTAAGAATTCTTGGATACAATCAGCTGGATCAGGTTGTTCATTCTTTTTTTTTTTTAAGGTAGGGGGGGGGGGGGGGGGGGAGGAAGCAATGTCATTAGAATGCCTGGATATTAGGGAGAAGAGGACATAAACAAAAACCTGACGAGGGCTCCTAAGGACCAACAGTGCTCACCTGGTATGGCACGCTCTGTCTATACCTCTCAGTACCACTGACTGAGCAAAGCAGCGTGTTCCCGAGGGGTTCCCACATGCAGACAGTGGGGTCCATGGGGTGGCTCCTCCGAGCTGCACCAAGGCATCAGGGAGGGACTGGCCTGGAACCAAGGGAAAGGGGATGACTGCTCCTGCTGTCACCACCTAAAGAGCAGGAGGAGATAAGATTACAGATCTTTTTCTCAGTGCTGACCCAAGCCCCACACAGAGCTTCATACCTTTTTCCCAGAGAAGGTCAGCATATTAGCCAGGTGGACCATGGAAACTGGAGATGAACGGAGTCGATAAGGAACAGTGACTGTGTCCAGTGCTGTGGCCAGGATGGCACTACAGTGGAAGGGCAGAGTGGCCTACAAAGAGGATACAAGAGGAGCACTTAAGCCTTTGGGACCTGGAAAAGGATGTGTGGAGGTAGGGCATTAATGACAGAGAGGTCCAGAGAGTGAAGCAAGGGTGTGGTTGGCCCAAGAGTGGACAAGCACAAGACAGATCTAAGAGGCCACATCACAGCTGAGTTCAAGCTAAGTTTAAGAAGAGACCTCCTAACAGAGGCTTCTTTGGGGAACATGAGGGTCAGCTGTAGTCAGAACAAGCATTGAGCCTTACATCATAATGCAGGTGAGGGAAGTTGACAGGTGGCTGGGGTCGCAGGCCCAGGCTCCCACCCAAGGATAAGGGGCAGACGAAAGAGCTGTAAGCAGTCAGGTGCACCAGTCCGAATGCTGTGTTCAACAGGCGATAGATGTTTTTCTGAGGCTCCTGGTGAAATGAGGGGTGTGCATCAGGCAACTTTCTCAATGGCGACTTTTTCTTGTTGCTCCTCCCCACTGTGACTTCTTTTTCTCCCATGTTCTACTCACCCCAAGACTGCAGGAACCAGGGATCAGGCCCCAGGTTATTATTCCCCGCCCTGAATACTCGTCTTGTAGCAACTCTGCAGCCTTGGCACCTACCCCAGAGAAACCATCATGCAGGTCACACAGGATCTGGAAGCCCTGGAGAGAAGCAAAGGATCAAAGACAGTAGAGAACAGGATGAGAAGAATTTCTCCTTGCTGTCCACCTTGCCCACAGCTACCTGCAAGTAGTCACATTCCTCTACGTAGAAGTGCAGTCTGTCCTCCAGCTCTTCCAGATACCTGGGTTCCTTCAGGACACTCTCCCCTTGGCCAAAAGCCTCCAGCCGACCTGTTTCCCTGCCACAAACGAATAGGAGGCAAGACTTCCAATCCTCTCCCCACTCCAACTCCCAGATCTCTTGTTTTGGGGAAAGATGGCCTCAAAGAATCTTATCCCCAGCATTGGTGGCGGGTAAGCCTCTTGCCTCACAGCCTCTGAGGTCCCCATACCCATCATGGTTGTACTTCTGAATCATACAGATGCTCCGGGGATGGAGATGGACTCTGAGGAAGTCTGACCAGACTCTGACACTGCTCTCTAGTGGTTTTGGAATTGCAGCAGTGGTGACTGGTGGGGGACCTGAAGAAAAAGCCGGAGAGATGTACCTTTGCCATGTTCCTTCTCTGCTTAGGTCCCCATCTGTACTGCGAAAATCTAATATCTGCAGAATTCTCACCTTTGCCATTAGGGATGGATTTGACCCTCCAGAAACCATCACTACTCCGCACTCCCTGGCACAGGTGAGAAAAATCTATATTTAGTTTCAGATAGTTTAGAAGCAAAGGCTGATTTATATTCCCTGAGCATGTTGGCCATCCCTGCAGCCTCCTCCTGTTTAGGTTGAAACAATCCTTAGGAAAAGATGTGCTTTTTCTCAAAATACCATTCTAAGGCATTTAAGGTGATTAAAATCCTCTTTTCTCTACCCCAGTGGAGGCACTCTGGTTGTAGCATGGGGTGAAAAGGTTCAGGATAGAGGCCCTCACCTCCGCACTCAGAAGGTCCTGGAGATGAGGGTTTTGGGGATAGACTTCCTCTTTGTGTGTGGTAAGCTTCCCATGCCTTGAAAAGATTTCAAGATTAATCAAAGAAACTCATTGTGATGAGAGCTCTAGCTTTCTGTGCACATGCCTGTTCCCACCCCTCTCCATATATTAGGTACATACCAAGCTACTGCTGCGTCTAGCTGTTTGTCCCAGTAGAGTCCACCTTCCTCTTTTAGGGAGTTCAGACTGCCTGTACAGAGAGAATAAGCAATGCTTTGTCAAATCCTAGGGCATCCTTTCTCTTCCCAGGGAAGGGGTAATCTTGATCTCCTGACAACCTGCTGTCAACATCCCTCCTGCACTGGCTTTCCAGGCTTTCTTAGGCGCCCATTTGCACGGGTGGGTGGGGAGCTGGTTTAGGAGAATTCCTCTTTCTGATCCCGGCTTAATCAGTAGATGTGGTACTTGGAGCAAAAAAAAAAAAAAAAAAAAAAAAATTCCAATAGTCATACAGGAGTGTGGCATTTCTTAACACCTGTCTCCAGGCAAGCAGTCTATTCTAGAGATGGCTCTTTGAGCAAAGTTTTGCCTTCCTGCGTACCTCTGGTGTTAGAATACTCATTTCTAGTCCTTCAACCTACAATGGTTAGAGGTCATTTTGGGGGTGGGTTGGGGTGGGAGGTGGATCCTTGGGATTGAACCCAGAGGCGCTTTAACACTGAGCTACATCCCTAGTTCTTTTTTGACAGAGGGTCTCACTAAGTTGTTGAGGTTGGTCTCACACTTGCGATCCTCCTGCTTCAGCCTCTCTAGTAGATGGAATTACAGGCGTGAACCACCACGCCTAACTATAGAGTTTTAATTTAAGAGAGGGGATGCTAGAGACTCCGGACGCGAAATGGAAACACTTGAGCACTGGCCGACCCCTGACACCGTCTCACCCTTCAGATCCATGAGGATGAGTCGCGGCGTGTACGTTTCCTGGCCATGCAGCGTCTGGCCCGTCCGGTACAGGACGTCAGGGCACAGTTCTCCCAGGGACTCCTTGGCGCTGGTTGCTCGGCCCAGCGCAGCATCCTGGGGGAGGCAGGAGGGAGGACTGCACTTAGAGGAGGCGAGCGGCGCAGGCCGCACGTCAGGACTGTGGATCCCCAAGGATTTCGCCGGGACAGCCACTAGGAGACCTCACCTGCTGGTTCCACCAGTGCGCTCCCACGAAACCCGCAAAATGTCCCAACTGCAGCGTAAGCACCTCTCCGGCCCCGCCCGCCATGCCTCGCCACTCCACTCGGTCCCACCGCCCCTGCCAGTCCGCTCGCTGCTCCTAGCCGATTGGCTCCACAGGCCTGTGGGCGTGGCCTCGTCCTCTGCATCCTATTGGTCCACAAACACGTCCCTTGCCATTGGGTAAATGACTTCGAGACCCTGCCCATCATTCCCGCCCCTCTTCCTTGACGTGGTCCAGTCCCGCTTTCCCGTAGTTGCCCCGGGGCCCCGCGACCGCAGGCTGGGCCGGAAGTCGTGCGCCGCGGCGCCATGCTGCGGACTTTTTTTTTTTTTTTTTTTTTGATCTTGGGGATTGGACCCGGGATGTTCCACCATGAGCTACATCCCATCTCCGGACCTTTTTATTTTTAAATTTGAGACAGGGTCTCGCTAAACTGCTGAAGCTGGTCTCGAACTTCTGATGCTCCTGCCTGAGTCGCCGTGATTACAGGCCTGCGCGTCATCGCGCATTCTTCGACGGTTTTCTTTGCGCCTCATCTGGCGCCACCAATGACTAGGGTCACAAAGGTTCTCACCTCTTGTCCCATCACACTTATGCCAGCTAATAAATAACTCCACAGACAACACAAAGCCCTGTGAGAGCCGGCGCGTGGCGCATGCCTGTAATCGCAGCAGCTCGGGAGGCTGAGGCAGGAGGATCAGGAGTTCAAAGCCAGCCTCTGCCGCTTAGCGAGGCCCTACGCAACTCAGCGAGACCCTGTCTCCCTGTCTCTAAATTAAATCTCCAAATGAAATATTTATAAAAGGCTGGGGACGTAGCTCAGCGGTTGGGTTGCCGCCCCCCACCCCCCCACGAAAACAAACTCGCGAACAAAACACCTTGCCAGGAAACAAGCTCCTTTAAATCCTCCCACACACTCCTTCCAAAGTCAGCCTTACTGGATTTTAACCCAGGGGACTGGTCTAGCTAGGACATTAGGTAACAGAGTATGTGTTCTTTCTGTCAATATCGTTTATGAAATTCATCCGTATTCCATCACGTATCTACTTCATTTTCATTGCTGCAGACTAGTCCGTTGTATGAATATATCACAAATGATTTTTTTGTATTTATATACATCCCCAGCCCTTTTTATTTTGAGATAGAGACTTGCTAAATTGCTGAGGCTGGCTATGAACATGTGATCTTCTTGCCTCAGCCTCCAGAAATGCTGAAACTACAGGTGTTTGCAATGACGCCCGGCCCAGCCCTTTTTTTTTTTTTTTTTAATTTTTTAATATTTATTTTTTAGTTTTCGGCGGACACAACATCTTCGTTTGTATGTGGTGCTGAGGATCGAACCCTGGCCGCACGCATGGCAGGCAAGCGCGCTACAGCTTGAGCCACATCCCCTTGAGACGGGATCTTCCCTAGGTTCTCCAGCTGGTCAATGAACTTTACCACTGAGCCACATCGCCAGCCCTTTTTTATATTTTATTTCAAGACAGGGCCTCACCGAGTTGCTCAGGGCCTTGCTAAATTTCTGAGGCTGACTTTGAACTGGTGATCCTTCTGCCTGATCTGTCTGCTGATGCCCTGCTTAAAAAGGTACCTTACATCCCTAAATCTACATAATTAGACTAAGAAAGCTTGGGGGAGGAGGAAAATAAGTGTTAGGAGTGACCAGGGGGGCGGGGGGGGGAAAGACAGCTAAAAATGGTAGATTTAAATTTTTAAATTGCATTTATCAAGTTAAGAATTTATTCAGGTGCTTATCATCAGTGGATGTTAAAACCATCATGTGATAATTTCTTGGGAAACAGGACAGTGAGAGGATATCAAAGTAACACTCCAGATTGTTTAATTAACAATTGGGGAAGTGGTAAAATTTTGATGGAGAAACTTAATGGATATCATACTTAACCAAGTGATTACCTTATCATCACCAATAATGCAACAAACTAAAATGACGTAGTGTGGCAAGTACAACATATAACCCATGACTTATGCATACCCAAACCGTTCAACTTTTATCTAATCTGAGGGAAACAAATCTAGACTGTGGGACAGTTTATAATGTGAAATCCTTGATTGGTACCTGAACTGGAGAAAGTGAGTCGTGCATCAAGATGAGTTTCTTGGGTATGATGATATAGTCATGTAGAATAACACCCCCCCCCCCCCCTTTTTGTGGTGCTAAGGATCGAACCCAGGGACTATTTGCATGGCAGGCAAGCACTCTACCAACTGAGCTATATCCCCAGCCTGAGAATACCCTTCTTAAGATGTATGTACTGATGTACTTGCGGGTTGTCCTGTGTCTCCAATTTACTTCCAAACGGTGCAACAAAATAAATGTGTATAAAAATAACACGAATGTTAACAACTGAATGTAGGTGAAGATTACATTGTCTTTATTATTATTTTTTTGAGTATTCCAACATTCCTGTAGGATTGAAACATTTTAAAATAAAAATTATTGCAGTACTGGGGTTTGAACACAGGGCTTTACACATGTGAGGCAAGTGCTCCTATTACTGAGCTACAACCACAGCAGTATTTGCACAAATATTTTCAAATCATCTTGTCAAGATCAGCAAAATTAAAAAACTCCTAGTATTTGGGTCAGGATAGCATCATATCTTCATAAATCAATTTGGGGAGAATCAATGCCTCTAATCCATATTCTACTATTTATTGAGGTTTAATTTTTTTAAATTTCTTTAAACAAATTAAAAATTTTTTACTTAAAATTTTTTGTTTTCTGTACATCATATATCTCCCTGTTCCTACCTCCCTGCAACAGAGAACCATTAATCTACCTTCTGTCTTTACAGATTTTGTTTTTCTCAACATGTCACATAATCATATCACATATGGCCTTTTGTTCCAGTATGATTTTTTTTTAATCTTTGTTTATTTTTATTTGTTTATTTTTATGTGGTGCTGGGGACTGAACCCAGGGCCTCATGCATTCAAGGCAAGAGCTCCACCACTGAGCTACAACCCCAGCCCTCCAGCATGTTTTTAAGACTCTTCATTTTGTAGCATTATTTTCCTTTTGCTTATCAATTCACAATTTCATGGATGTTTGGATTATTTCTAATGTTTAGCTATTATGAATAATGTCACCGTGAACAGTCTCATGCTACTTGAACATAACTCTCTGTGGACATATGTTCATTTAGGGTAGAATTGCTGGGTCACATGATAATCTGTTTAATATTTTGAGGGACTCCCAAACCATATTCCAAAGTGGTTTATTTCAATATCTCCACATCCTAACAATTGTTATTGTTCATACCATTCCTGTGGGTATAAAACTGTATGTTTTCTGGCTTGGACTTGCATTTCCCTAATAACTAGTGCTGGTGAGTCCCTTTTCATGAGCTTTTCATTCATCCATCTTTTTTTACAAAAAGGTCCAAATCATTTCACTCATTTTTATATTGTCATTTGTCTTATTAGTGAGTCCTTCATTAGTGAATTATAACTATAACCTTTAAATGCACATAAGAGCAAAAAGTTAATTTGATGAAATTCAATTTATTAGATTTTTTAATTGATTTTTTTAAAAAAAGTAAATGACAGCGGAATGTATACAGCACAATTTTTCATATCTCTGTATGTTGACACCAATTCATGCCTTCATACATGTACTTTGGACAATGATGACCATCACATTCCACCATCATTGTTAACCCCCTTGCCCCCTCCCTTCCCCTCCCACCCCTCTGCCCTATTTAGAGTTCCTCTGTTCCTCCCATGCTCCCCCTCCCTACCCCTCTGTGAATCAGCCTCCTTATACCAGAGAAAACATTCAGCATTTGGTTTTGGGGGATTGGCTAACTTCACTTAGCATTATCTTCTCTAACTCCATCCATTTACTTGCAAATGTCATGATTTTATTCTTTTATTGCTGAGTAAGTAAAATTCCATTGTGTGTGTGTGTGTGTGTGTGTGTGTGTTTTCCAAGGAATCTCCATACTGCTTTCCATATTGGCTGCACCAATTTGCAGTCCCACCAGCAACGTATGAGTGGGCCTTTCCCTCCGATATCCTCGCCAACACTTATTATTAGATCTTTTCTTAAAATCACATCTTATGGATATCTTTGGCATCATATCTAAGAAATATTCACCCAATTCAAGATCAAGAAGATTGTCTGTCTACTTGCTATGTTGCCTCTCTGGTCTTGGACTCCTGGACTCAAGCCATCCTCCTGCTTCAGCTCCCTAAGTAGCTGGGAGTACAGTCATATACCACCACATCTGGTATTTCTTTTGTTGAATTTGTTTCTAAATATTTTACTGCTATTGCCAATAGAATTATTTTAACTTCATTTCTGGATGGTTCTTTAATAATATAAATACAATTGATTTTTATGTACTGGTCTTGTATTGTTGTGCCCTTGCTGAATTTGCTTTTAGTTTAGTAGATATTTTTCGGGGGGCAGCTTAAGGTTTTCTACATGTCCAAGCTAATGCTATCTGAAAATAAAGGAAGTCTTCTTATTTCCTGATCTGGATCATGTCCAGTTGAGTGATGAGAAGGAGCCTCAATAATCTAGCTGTGTAGTACCTTGGCATGAAGACAATAAAAAATGGGTATGAACATTAGGACTACAGAATAATCTTATGAAAAAAAAGACTGCATAGGGTAGATTATGATAAAATGTTTGGGAAACAATTAAGAATCTGTATTTAGTGATTAGAAAAGTGGGGTTATTCTTCCATAGGACTTTGTGTATCAGTGATGATATAGACAGACTTAACATGTCTGAGTTTACTCTTATGGTTAGCCTCCCAAAGCTGCGTGTTGGATGTGAGAGTGATCTGGCCACAGATTCACGTGATATGGTGATCTCCTGAAGATTCACAATTGGTAAAAGAGAATGACCTTCCCAATAAGAGGACAGTTCTTTGGTCAAGGTTATAGGAGTAGATGTACTCCAGAACCTCCTGCCAGAACCTATAAACAAGCTCCCAAGGTCCAAAGGTGGCAGTATTTCCCAGCCTCATCTGCAGCTAAGGACCAAATTTGTCAACATGATTTGATCCTGCCTAAATCCCCTGTTTCTGGGGACTTGCTGCAACTGTCATTAACACAGGCTAAGGTGAGACTGTTATAGGGTCAGCGTTGTCTTTACCACACTGCCTCTTCTGGTAGGGCTCAGGTGGTGTCTAGCTGCAGAGCTTATGATGTTGCCCTCTTGCCTTCTTTTTAAATAAATTGGTTCAAATGAGCATGTAAATTTACAGAGAATAAAAAGAAATTTATGAGGAAGAGGGTGGGCGCGGTGGCACACACCTGTAATCCCAGAAGCTCAGGAGGCTGAGATGGAGGGTTCTGAGTTCAAAGCCAGCCTCAGCAAAAAGGAAGGCCCTAAGCAACTCAGTGAGGACCCCCCCCCCCATTTCTAAATAAAATACAAAATAGCGCTGGGGATGTGGCTCAGTGGTTGAGTGCCTTTGAGTTCAATCTTGGTACTCCCCAGCCCCGCCCCCAAAATTTACAAGAATGGTGACAGATAAAATTTCCGAGTTATGCAAAAAAACCAAAGTGTGGTTTCTTTCTTTTTTCTTTTGTGTGTGAGGTATGTGGTGCTGGGGATTGAACCCAGGGCCTTGTGCATGCAAGGCAAGCACTCTACCAACTGAGCTACATCCCCAGCCCCAGTGGGTTTCTTTTTGTATTTGAAAAATAAGTGGGGATGGAAGGTGGGGTGTGCATCCTTATAATTCTAGTGACTTAGGAGGCCGAGGCAAGAGATCACAAGCTGGAGGTCAGCCTGGGCAACCTTAATGGACAACTTGAATCGTCAACTTGATTGGATTAAGAGATGCCAAGGAATGAGAGGATTATGAATGTGTCAATGAGGGTGTGTCTAGGAGTGATTGGCATGTGGGATAGCCAACTGAAATGAAGACCCTCCCTAAGTGTGGGCAGCAGCAACCAATAGGATGATGGCTTGGATGGAATAAAAGTTGGAAGAACAAAGCAGCAGCAGCAGATGAAGCTCACTCCTTCTTGAATGGGTTCTTGATGGCTACTGCGGTAGGATATCGGATTCTTGCCTCTTCATTCTTCCCAAGTGGACTCTGACAGAGATTCTCCAGAAGGCTTACATCTCAGACCAGGGTAGCACCGTGGATCCCTCTGGTTCTGGGGCTTCAGCCTCTTTGGACTGCAGCTACTGGTTCTCCCAGCTCTCCAGCCTGCCATTGTGGACTATCCAGCTTCTGGTCGCACAAGACAACCTAATAAGTCCCTTTTGATAATTATACTTCCTGCTGATTCTAGAGAACCCTAATACAGCAACTTAGGAGCCCCTGTCTCAAAATACAAAGGGCTGAGGACGTACATCAGTGCTAAAGCATACCTAGTATAAAAAAGTGTATAATTTTATCTCTAGAACTTGGTAATAGAGGTTGCTTCCAAAGAACTAGGGGAAAGGGAAGGTGCCCGATTTTTCTCTTTTGTTTTTAAAATGTTTTTATTAGGTATCGATGGACCTTTATTTATATGTGGTGCTGAGACTTGAACCCAGTGCCTCATACATGCTAGGCAAGTGCTCTACCACTAAACCACAACCCCAGCCCTGGTTCATTATATATTTTTGTATGGTTTGAAATTTATAAGACATATATGGCAAAATAAATTAGAATGAAGGCACAGAGGAGGCAACTGAACATCACCAACTAGGAGAATTTTAGAAAGTTCGCTCTGGCAACTTGTGAAAGATAAACCAATAGGAGGAAGAGTGATTGAAGGCCGAAAAACAAATTAATAAATGTTTTCAGTAACTCAAAAAAGAAGCGATAGGCAGTGGTAATGAGGATAAAGAGGAGGAAGTGGTCTGAGATATTATAAATTCACAGGCTTAACGAGCCATATTGGGAGGTATAGCAATCAGGGCTTCATAGAGAAGAGGACCATTAGGAGACACATACAAAGGGATCTGACACATGAATTCACCCTTCCTCGCTGTAGGAGCTGGTTAAGCATTCTCAGCACGACTGTTGTCTCTGTTTCTGATGCTAGTAAATGAGTCTGGTTAAACTACAGCACAGCAAAGTTACCACCAAGGGTGACTGGGGATTGACTTACGGGTGGAAGTTCTGTTTCTGACAAGAATTTCTTCAAATAAAGCACAAAACCCATGTTATAAAGATAGCTATTCATGGGATGGGGCTGTGGCTCAGCAGTAGAGTGCTTGCCTCACACATGTGAGGCACTGGGTTCAATCCTTCAGCACCACATAAAAATAAACAAAATAAAGGTATGTATAAAAAAGAGATAATACATTATAAAAAAATAGCTACTTATATGGTAGGTGCTTTACATATGCTGTTTCTTTCTAAATATTTTTTAAAGTCGTAATGAACACAATGCCTTTATTTTATTTATTTATTTTTATGTGGTGCTGAGGATTGAACCCAGTGTCTCATGCAAGTGAGGCAAGCTCTCTGCCCCTGAGCCACAATCCCAGCCGAATATGCTGTTTAATTCTCACAAAGCCTCTGCAAGTTTAGCACTATTGAAAGCAAAATGAAGGAGAAAGAAAAAGAAACAGAGACAGACCTCAAAGGATCAGTGATGCTTTGTTAAGCACCAGAGAGGCAGAGGTTCAAAAGAGAAAATGACGACTGGTTACAATAGGGGTCTGAGTTTTATTGGGTTCAGGGAGACTGCATCCCAGCAGAATGCGTGGGTTGGCAGGCAGGGGAACAGTTGTAGAACAGGAAATGGTCAAAGTCCAGAGCCCACTGATGCTGGGAAATGGAGAAAGTCCACAGCCCATTGTTTTCTCTCTCTCCCTGGGACCCAATGTCCTCCTTTTCTTCCTGGGGATTGTTTTTCCATATCCTTCAATTGTTGTCATCATTAGATGAGAGCAAATAAAGATAAGGTGAAATTAGAGAAGGAAATAGGAAAGAACTAAGAGACCTCCAATTAGCCAGCCAATAAGTAGCAGATCTGGGAATCAAAATTCCGACTCTTGGGCTGGGGATGTGGCTCAAGCGGTAGCGCGCTCGCCTGGCATGTGTGGGGCCTGGGTTCGATCCTCAGCACCACATACAAACAAAGATGTTGTGTCCGCCGAAAACTAAAAAATAAATATTAAAAAAAAAAAAAATTCTCTCTCTCTCTCTTAAAAAAAAAAATTCCGACTCTTTAAACAATACTGATAACCTGAATACGACGAGAGGATCAAACTCCACTGTAAGTGATTTGAATCACTACTTTCTCTATTCTCCCCTGGGCAGTACACAGATAATTTGCTCTGAGGGCATTAAAGATAATTCACTCTACACGATGTATGCGGGTGGGATTTAGTGCTTAATTCTCCAAGGAACACATGGGAAAGAGCTGTACCATATTAAAGCTGCCATATACTCAGCTGGGGCTCAGTCACCCCCTTGGAATCAAAGATAAAAGTGTAAGTAGGAAGTGAGTGGTGTGTTTGGGTGGGAGAAGTTAGGCTGTGAATCTTGATCTCTTGATCAGTAGTCAGAACTACTGGAAACTTCTATAGAACTGAGTCAGATAAATTCAATTTGGCTAATCTGAAGGCTCTTAAGTTGAATACAACACTTTAAGAAAAACATTTAATTTTATTTTTTTAAGGAAAAGAACCATTGTTATCTTAAATATGAAAACCACATTCAAAAAATGATTTTATTTTTAGGAACAAGGGGAAATCTTACCATATGTTCACAGTCATTTTGTAAGGAACCCATTTCAAAGAAGGTGCATAGCCCACGGCAGTCCTGGCTAATCCCATAGGGACAGGGGCCTGGCTGTTCTACCTGAGTGCTAGGGAGTTCTCCGGGACTGGGTGCAGCATTAAGGAAATGTCCACTGTCTTCCATCCACATAATGACCATGGCTCATAGGTAGGCACAGAGACGTTCCAGCTGCCCAGGGTTGGCATTACTTAGAAATAGCAGCTCCTTCTTCCCTTCTTCTGTAGGAGCTATAATGGAGTCAAACACAGTGAAATCAAAAATTCCTCCTGCTGTTCTGTATCCCTCCAGAAAACTCCAGTGGTCAGAGCCTCCCTTACCTAGATTATGTTCAGACATATTCCTCCCCAGATCACACGTCTCTGTGCTTCCCACCTACAATGCTGCAGCTACTTTTATTCTTTCCTCTCCAATATCCTAACTCTCTATTATCTAGTGATAGAAAAACCCTTTATTTTTCCTTTATATACCCTCGGATATCCAGAGGTGAGGCAAACCTAAATGAATACCTAAAATGCTTCCAGTCAAAGGGCATCAAATCTGGTAGTAAGAGAGCTGGGGTTGTGGCTCAGTGGTAGAGCGCTCACCTAGCATGTGTGAGGCCTTAGGGTCGATCCTCACCACCACAGAAAAGTAAATAAATAAATAAAATAAACCTATTGTGTCCAACTACAACTAAAAAATAAATATTAAAAAAAAAAACATTTTTTTGGGGGGGGGGGGCGGTTTGCAAGGGCCTGAGTTCGATCCTCAGTACCACATAAAAATAAAATATATTGAGTAAAACCACCACCACCAACAACAACATAACAAACAAACAAAAGAAAACATTTGGTATTAAGAAGCAACAATTTCTTTACATATAATAGATCGCTATGGCAAAGATTTGCTTTGGTGTTGGGGTAGCCTCTTACACAAGGTGAATTATTGTGGGACTGTCACAGCACATGAATTTCTCAACTGAAATTTGCTGAATGAATAAACCAATAATGAGAGTATGGCATAATCCAAACACCTGGAAAACGCCCAGTGGCTGGATGTTTTTTTTTTTTTTAAAAGAGAGAAAGAATTTTTTTTTTAATATTTATTTTTTAGTTTTTGGCAGACACAACATCTTTGTTTGTATATGGTGCTGAGGATCGAACCCGGGCCCCAGGCATGCCAGCCGAGCACGCTACCGCTTGAGCCACATCCCAAGCCCCAGCTGGATGGGGTTTTGCCTCCATTCTTTTTTTGGTACTGCGCATTGAACCCAGGGGCACTCAACAACTGGGCCACATCCCAGCCCTTTTAAAAATATATTTAGAGACAGGGTCTTGCTGAGTTGCTTAAGGCTTCACTAAGTTGCTAAGTCTGGCTTTGAACTCATGATCCTCCTGCCTCAACTTCCTGAGCAGCTGGGATTACAGGCGAGAAACCCCCATGCCTGGCAGCGTTGCCTCCAGCTTTTTGCATTAACATTTTATTTTGGACCAGATGAGAATTTGGGGAGAGATATAATTTCCTTTGTAAATTATAAACTTAGTCTGAGGCTGGGGTATAGCACAGTTGGTAGAGTGCTTGCCTTGCATGCACAAGGCCTTGGGTTCAATCCTCAGCATCACAAAAAGCACAGCAAAACAAAAAAAAGTAGGCTGTGTGGTGGTGCACACCTATAATCCCAGCAGCTTGGAAGGCTGAGTCAGGAAGATTGCGAGTTCAAAGCCAGCCTCACCAAAAGCGAGGCGCTAAGCTACTCAGTGAGACCCTGTCTCTAAATAAAATACAAAATAGGGCTTGTGATGTAGCTCAGTGGTCAAGTAAACCCTGAGTTCAATCCCTAGGACTCTTCCCCCGAAAAAGAAAATACCCCAACTTAGCTACCCACCAACACCTTTCTTCTCAGTGCTGCTGATGGAACAAGAGGGTGAGGCTCTGAATGAGTGGGATTCTACTTTGAACACCAAGCTCTGATAGGAGAAAATTAAACAACTGACCTTTTTCATGTTGTAGCCAATTATTCTCTAAATAATACTGAATACAACTTTCAAATTCCTTTGGGTTATAACTGGAAACCAAAATGGGAAGAAAGGGATCCAGGGCATCAAATCCTTCCTGGAGAAGAGAAAGGGTACAATATTAGTTAAGTGACCTATCAGGAGAAAGAGAAATTCTACTTAAGCACTTTGAGGGCAGTGTTTTTATTTTCTTCTATTCTTTTTACTCCTCTTTCTCTGGCTACCCCACTTTCTACAGATCTGCAGAAATATGGGGGACACCGCTTGTCTGAGTAAACTGTATTTTTGAGAGCTCTGACTTCTGGAATCAAGTTAGGCCAAAATATTGTTATATTGTATATGAATATGTAACAACCAATCCCATCATTATGTATAACTATAATGAACTCATAAAAAATTTTGAATGGGAAAAAAGGAAATTAAAATTAACAAGTGGGAAAAAAGACCCTAAGTGGAACATAATTAGAAATAGTGGATCAATCAAATTATATTCTGAATTTAACATAGGAGAAGGGGAGGGGAACTACAGCAAGTAATGTCTTTTTTTTTTTTTAATATATTTTTTTTAGTTGTAGAAGGACACAATATTTATTTTTATGTGTTGCTGAGGATCAAACCCAGTGCTTCACATGTTCAAGGCAAGTGCTCTACCACTGAGCTACAGCCCCAGCCCAAGCCAAGTAACTTCTGAAAAGAATATCTGACTACACATCTTTTTTGACTCAAGATGAAAACTTGAAAATATTGAACTCTAGTTTGCAGCTTCTATATGAGTTGAGGGTGAGCAAATATGAAACTTTTTGTATATACAAAATACTGTGTAGATGGATACAATTACTTTATTTTGTTTGTTTATTTTTTTATGTTGTGCTGAGGATTGAACCCAGTGCCTCATACGTGTAAGGCAAGTGCTCTACCATTAAGCTTCAACTCCAGCCCACAAATCTGAAACTTTTAAACCATATTTTAGGATTAAGTTAGTAAGTAAATAAATTGTGGCTAATGAGAAGAGATTTCTTATAGATGAGACAAATATGGAAAAGGGGAAGGGAACAATGAATGCTATTCTAGCATGGAACTGGCAAGTGTAAGTATGGATTTATAGTTCATTAGAGAAGAATACACACACTACATGTAAACACCACGCCTCGTTACTAGCTTTGCTGAGAAGGGCTAGAAGAAATGATACCCCAGTAGCTCTAAGGTCTTGGTTTCTAAAAACCATTTTCTGAAACAAACCAAGGCTAGAAATGACTAATTCTAGGAAGAGGGCATGGGAAGTACAAGGGAATCTGGAAACATTCTTGTGCCAGGAAATAAAGAAGTGCTAAAAGAAATGATGGGTCATAGCAACTAGCCTAAAGGAAGCATCCACGGTAACACTGGAATAATTTGAGCATGTAAATAAGAATGATAGTAAAGGCTCAGCACCTATTAAAAATGAATTTACAAATCTACACTGTAACAAATAAATATATAAGGGGAACAGAAAATTTCTAATAGAAAGCCAAGTGATATATTTAGAAGAAATAATAGGTTTAGAGAAATCTCCACTTGGCCATTACCATAATAACATTTAGCAAAGAATCACTAATCTAATGGATGAGTAGGTGGAAGTAATAGGAAATTTATCTAGCCTGAAAGTATATCTCCTCAAGATACTTATTAGGGCTGGGGATGTGGCTCAAGCGGTAGCGCGCTCGCCTGGCATGCGTGCGGGCCGGGTTCGATCCTCAGCACCACATACAAAGATGTTGTGTCCGCTGAAAACTAGAAAATAAATATTAAAATTCTTAAAAAAAAAAAAAAAAGATACTTATTAATTCCAAAGGGAGAATAATTACCGAGGAGAAGCCAGATGAATATCATCTAAAGTAGGTGTTCAAAATTAACATTATCAGTAATGGGATAAACAGATTTCATGCTCCTTTTTAATATATATAGTTGTAGATGGACACAATATCTTTATTTACATATTTTTATGTGGTGTTGAGGATCAAACCCAGTGCCCCATGAGTCAGAGGCAAGTATTCTACCCACTGAGCCACAACCCCAGCCCCCTCATGTTCCTTTTGATAAGCTGCACAGAGAAGACACATTTTTACTACTACTTTTTTTTTGGTATGGAAATTAAACCCAGGCGTACTTAACCACTGAGTCACATCCCCAGCCTTTTTTTTACATTTTATTTAGAGATAGGGTCAGCAAGACCCTAAGTTGTTGAGGCTGGCTTTGAACTCACAATCCTCCTGCCTCAGCCTCCTGAGATGCTGGGATTACAAGCATGTGCCTGGCACATTTTTACTTCTATTATCACTTCTACTTGTGAGGAAACATCAGACAAGCTCATAAAATAACCTACAAAGAAAGTAGTGATGTACTTTTTTTTTTGTAGTTGTAGATGGACGCATGCCTTCATTTTATTTATTTTTATGTGGTGTTAAGGATTGAACCCAGTGCCTTACACCTGCTAGGCAAGTACTCTGCCACTGAGCTACAGCCCCGGGCCCTGGCATGTACTTTTGAAAAATAGAAATCTTAAGATTTTAAAAGATACAAGGCTGGGGAACCACCACAGATTAAAGGAGACCAAACAGACATGACAAGTGAACATCATCCAGGTTCTTCTTTTTCTATAGTGGGATATTGGATTAACTGGCAAACTCTGAGTAAGACTTACAGATTAGATCAAAGGTTTATATCAGTTTCCTGACTGGATAAGAATGCTATGGTTATGTATTAGAATTCTATCTTTGTTTTTTAAGAAAAAGATATTGGGGTAGAAGAATATGATTTTTCTGAAATAATGTCAAAATAAGTAGACTTAAAAAGAGCTCTCTCTCTACTCAGAATGATCATCTAAGAGGCAATGAATTCTTCTATAACTTAACCTTTCCCAGCAACTCATGCGGCAGGTATGCTTTCCGGGGCTTAAAGAGAGATCCAGTCTGGCTTAAAGTCAACACAATGGCACCTCCGTGCTGAAATAAAGAAGAATAAGAAAAAGTCAAAGAAGACATAAAAGTAGAATTGCAAATAAAATTAGGCCAATATTTAAATACTGTGTATCACTGTATAATTGTTGCAGATTTTATGCTATTTTTTTTTTCGGGGGGGAGGGAAGTTGTGACCATTATGTGAAGCTTTTTAAAAAAAATCGTGCACCAGTTTAGTAATGATTGGGGCTGGAGTTGTAGCTCAGTGGTAGAGCACTTGCCTAGCACGTGTGAGGCCCTGGGTTCGATCCTCAGCACCATATAAATATAAATAAATAAAATAAAGGTATTGTATCCATTTATAGCTACAAAAAATATTAAATTTTCTTTTAGTTTTAGGTGAATACAATATCTTTATTTAAAATTTTTTTTTTTTTAGTTGTAGTTGGACATAATACCTTTATTTTGTTTATTTTTATGTGGTGCAGAGGATCGAACCCAGGGCCTCGCACGTGCTAGGCGAGCACTCTACCACTGAGCCACAACCCCAGCCCCAAATGAACAGATTTTAATGCAGACCTAACTCCTAACTTGGTACAATTGTAGGAATTACATAAAGTAAAAGAACATTCTGGCCATAAAATTAGTGACCTGAAGGTATTATTGGTTATGAAGTAGTAAAATATGTTTAAAATGAAAACCCAATTCTTTCTGCAATGTGCAAATCGTTCATATGCACATACCCAGTCATTTTTCATCATCTTCCTCAGGTTGTGAATAAGTGCTAGTTCGTCTGGAGCAATCTGCATGTTGGCAATGAGAAATAGATAATTACTTTTTTCCTAGAAGTTCTCTTGAAACAACTGAATTGATAATAATAAAAAAAAATTCTCAATTATTATTATGCAGTCAAGGTACCTGAACATATCCCTTTGGGACAAGCTATGTTAGTTTCTGGCCCAAGATTTGCTATGCTTCTGGAGATTAAAAATATTTACTAAGAGAGAAAAACAACTACAGCACTACACCCACCCCCTTCTCCTTGATGTTTCTGATCTTCTCCACTTAGAACCACAGTTTTTCTTTAAAAAGCTAACAGAAAGAAAAAATTAACAAAGAACTGGGTGCAGTGGTGCATGCCTATAATACCAGCAATTTGGGAAGCTGAGGCAGGAGGATCACAAGTTTAACGTCACACTTTGCAATTTAGTGAGATCCTCACCCACTTAGTGATACCCAGTCTCAAAATAAAAAGGGCTGGCTGAGGATGAAGCTCCAGTCCTGCAAACAAAAGAAAAGAAAAGAAAAAGAAAGGCTGCTCAGTGGCGCATGCCTGTAATCCCAATGATTGGGGATGTGGCTCAGTGGTAGGATCCTCCTGAATTCAATCCCTGGTAGCAAGGGAAAACAACAAAAAAAGAGAACTCTCCCTCAGTTTTCAATGCATGGTGGTACCTTTCGTGTCCCCTTCTCCTTCTGGGTTATTTCCTCTCTGTATCTTAATTCAAACCCTCACAGCAAGTAAATACATTGTCTAAGTCTACACGGCTAAGCCACAGCCTCTGTACATGATGCAGCCAGAAATCAGAGAAACCAGGATCAAGTCTTCTCACTGGGGTTTTATCTTCTCTTTTTAATGTGGTCCTTCCCCAAAGGGCATTGATTCCATCCACTGCCACCAGGAGGCGAAACATTCCCAAAGAACTTTGCATCTTTAGCTCCTTCATCACGATCCCAACTGCGTCTGTGGCGTTTCTCACGCGGGTCAGACCCTGCAGGGAGACAGAGGCTTAGAGTGCCATGGGAGGCCTTCTTTGGTTATGACATGATCCACAGCTAATGTTTTTATACCTGTTCAATCACTTCTCCCAGAGGACTGCCTTTCTCAGTGATTTCTCTCTTATTCCAGACATATTTCTCTTGAACTTTTATCTAAAAAGAAGCAAAGTAAAAACAACAACAATAACAAAAGATTGTTTTGCCTAAGGTGGAACCCATCCACGTTCTAGAAGATGGGAGGCTAAGGTTAACAGAAATGAGTTTTAATCTATTTCTCAGTTCCTGTAAAAGACTCCATCACATAAGGGAATATTTTCCAAACCATTTCTGCCTGGAGCTTTGGAAAATGAAAGAAGGAAGGGAGAGATGGAGGGAGGGAGAATGGATTGATTCTGACTAAAAAAAAGTCCAAAACTTAACTTTAAGGCCTTAGCATCTGCTTTTTTTTTTTTTTGGGAGACAGGGTCTCCCTATGTAGCCCAGATTGGTCTCAAACGACCCTTCTGCCTTAGCTTCCTGAGTGCTGGAGCTGCAAGAGTGGACCATCATGCCTAACTTTTTCTTTTGTGGTGCTGGAGAGTGAATTCAGGGCATCACACATGCTGGGCAAGTTCTCTACAATTCCCTAGCCCTTTTTAAAAATTTTGAGACAAGGTCTTGCTGTGTTACCCAAACTGGCCTTTGATCTTCCTGCCTCAGACCCCCAAATTATTGGCATTATAGGTGTGTGCCACTATGCTCAGCCTAGGAGAGTCTTTGTACTCAGAGTTAAAGAGCTATAAGCTAGAGATCATATCCAACAAACTGGAATGAAGAACAATTTTATCTATACATCTCCCCGCCCTGCCCCCATGACAATAAGGACTGAACTCAAGGGTACTTTAGCCACTGAACTACATCCCTAGATCTTTTTATGCTGAGACAGAGTCTCACTAAGTTGCTAAATCTGGCCTTGAACTTGTGATCCTCCTATCTCAGCCTTCTGAGTTAATGGGATTCTAAGTATGTGCTTCTGTCTGGGCTCCCCAAAGTATCTTTTTTTTTTTTTGGGGTACTGGGGATTGAACTCAGACACTCAACCACTGAGCCCTATTTTGTATTATATTTAGAGACAGGGTCCCACTGAGTTGCTTAGTGCCTTGCTACTGCCGAGGGTGGCTTTGCATCAGCGATTCTCCAGTCTCAGCCACCCAAGCCTCTGGGCTTACAGGCATGCATCACCATGTCTGGCTCCCCAAAGTATCTTATCTGAAGAAAATTATGTACGTGGAAGTGTGCTTATGAAGAATGTGAGGCTATATCTTGGAAAAGTCAGTGAATCAATTTGGATTTTATTCTGCTCCCCACTATATGAGAACAGTTTACTGTTGTGTCTTTATTTCCCCTGGATAAATGAATTTCAAATTGTGAGCCCACTGTGAGAAAAATAAATGAAAGAAATAAAATAGTATATCTATTCCAAATCAAATTATCAATTCTTCATAGTCTACCATGTTTTCAGTACACAAAGAAGATAATCTATATAAAGACCATTTAGCTGGTAGGAGACCCTTATTGTTTTGCAAAATTACATATAAGATGGTGTGAAGGGGAAGAAAAAAAAGAGAGAGAAATGTGTCACAGTAGATTGGGTAGAAAGAGGTGATGGGAGGGGAGGGGGGTATAGGAAGGGCAGTAGAATATAATAGACACTAGTATGGCCCTATGTATAAACGAGGCTGTATAACCAATGTGATCCTGCAAACTGTACACGTGGAAAAATAAGATTACATACCCCATTTGAATCAAATGTATGATATGTCAAGATCATTGTAATGTTCTGAGCAACTAATTAAAAAAAAAAAAAAAAAAAGACCATCTAGCACCAAACTTGCCCAAGTCTAGTTACCTGGCTCAGGAAGCGTTCGTTTGCAATTTTGAAATTCTTCAGCCAGGTTGAAGCCTCTAAAGGTTGATCAAAGCGCTGTTTATTGTAGGTAGACTGCAGAAGATCCCGGCAATTTTTCACCCAAAGATGAGCTAAAAAGGGGACGAAACAAACTAGGCAGGAACTGACTATCATCAACTCAAAATACTCTATATATCTTAAGTTATGGGAAAAGACTTCAATTTCCCATATCTCTATCTAATCTATCTCCCTATTTTTTTTTTCAGCACTAAGAATGGAACCATGGTTTCAGTATGCTAGGCAAGTGCTCTACCACAGAACAACATTCCTTAGACCGTCCATATCTCTCTCTCTCCCTCTTAGTACTAGGGATCGAACTCAGGGAAGCTTTACCACTGAGTTATATCCCCCAGTCCTTTTTATTTACTTTTAAAATTTTGAGAAAGGGGCTCAGAACAGGCTGGCCTTGAACTTGCAATCTTCTGTCTCAGCCTCCTGAGTCACTCAGATTTACTTGGTTCCCAATATACATTTTTTTTTTAAAAATAGTTTTTTAGTTGTCGATAGACCTTTATTTATTTTAAAGGTGGTGCTGAGACTCAAACCCAGTGCCTCACACGTGCCAGGCAAGTGTGCTACTGCTGAGCCCCAGCCCAGGCCCCCATATACATTTTTTAAAGTCGTCTTGCTTCAGAGATTTACTTTTTTTGATCTGGTCCACCTGAGACTAAACATTATCATTATAATCAACACATAAGACGTACCAAGTAGATTAAATGTCACTTCTGCTTACTGACAGTTTTTAAAGGCAAGTCAGAAAATGAGAATGCACACAACACTGAACAAAAAAAGGATATTTGAGCCAGGTGTGGTGGGTGACTCAAACCTGTAATTCCAACTAGTCAGGAGGCTGAGGCAGGTTTGAGGTCATCCTGGGCAAATCAGGGAGACCCTGTTCTCACTATCAAATTAAAAAAAAAGACTAGGGATATAATAGGGCTAGAGTGCTTATATTGCATGTGGCGGGGTTTAATTCTAAGGACAAAAAAAAAAAAGTAATGGTCGCTGGGCTTGTTGGCATAGGACTGTTGTCTGGAGGTGGAGGCAAGAAGATTGCTTGAGCCCAAGAGTTCAAAGGCAGCCCAGGTAACATAGGGAGACCTTGTCTCTTAAACCCTTTGGTGATCTTAAAGGTGGAACTTCATGCTCTTGGGCATTAAATATCAAAGGCTTTAGGAAGATTTTAGCCACATTTCCTCTTGTGACATTGACTATACCTTGTAACCTGCTTGACACTAACATCATGAAGAAATCATGATGAACTAGCAAAGGCTTTTCTTTCAGCAGATGAGCCCTATTGTAGATCAAAGTTGCACTGCTGCCACAGTAAGGGGACTGGCCCTGACATACACAAGACACACAGCAAGTTCTTACCATCTGGAATATGCAGTATCAACCAATCATGCTTGGCACAGAAATGAATAACATGACAAAGACTGAGGGTTTTGCCTGTTCCCTTCTCCCCATCTAATGTACTTCTTGTTAAAGAAAACATCACCAGAAGGGATACTTTTACTATCAACAGCACTCTTACATTTCTTCTTTCTGCTCATGAGGGGAGAAAACACTGGTTCAAGATGACCCAGGCAGGCAGGAAAGGATACAGAAAAGATACCGCACAGCTGGATGAGCAAAATTGGTGTTTTTCAGATAATGCAGAAGCTCTAGGGCTGGTTTTCGTATCATCAGGCAAGCTTCACCAAATGTTTTTACCTATGAAAACAGAGAAGCAGGAAGGAGAAGGTGGGCTATAGAACTTTTCATCACTCGGTATATACACTAAGCCTAATATGGCAACTACGAGCACTAAATTGAATATTTTAAATTTATTCAGTTAACAAAGGTTGGATTGGTACTGAATTTGAAAATCAACCCATATGATTTAGCAAAACCCTAAAACATGTTATTCCACACCAAATAACATAACAGTCAGCTTTTGTTTATTCTTTGTTAATAATGCCTAAATATTACACTAGTTAAATGGAATCTAGGAATAACTAAGATCTTTTAATACTTAAGTATTAAAAGCATATAAAATGTTTAACAAATTATTTGATTCATGGTGAACATTCAATAAATATTCTTCCACAGTTATTTTTAGTTAATTCTTATCATTACAACCAGCTATGCTTTTCTTTAGAACTTTATACATGGCAGCTCAGGAGGTCTGGTTAGCTATCCCTCACCTATCAGGACATATCCCACATCACAAGCATACATCAGTATGCATCAGATTTTTTGTGTTCATTACCCTTATGCCACCAGAATACTTTGGTAGAAAAATTTGGTAAGCACTGATTGATATGTTATGAAAGTATGTATATCAACTAAGAACAAATATTTAACAAATATTATTTGCAAATATATCAGATGAAGTTTAAAATAGTGTTAGAATATTTTTTCTTTTCTGGTGCTGGGGACAGAACCCAGGGCCTCCCACTTGTAAGCACACCATCTACCAATAAGCTACATTTGCAGTACTAGTGCTGGTATTTTTGAGAGAAATCTCCCCTGAAAAAGAATTGGGTTTGTATAGGAATTGACAGCTAAGTCACTATGCCTGGAGAAGAAGGAATAATTTCTGGTGCTAAAAATAATTCAGCTTCTTGGGAGGCTTTAGACAGGAGGATCACTTGAGCCCAGGAGTTTGGCCTGAGCAACATAGCGAGACCATGTCTCAAAAACAAAACAAACAGTAACAAAAACCCAGTAGGTGCTAATAGGAAGAACAATTGTGCCAAAAAGCCAGGGTTGCATTTAATCATGAATTTTCCCAATGTCTGTCTGTCTCTCCCTCTCTCTCTCTATATATATATGCGAGGAACTGAACCCAGGGCCTCACACATGCTAGGCAAATACTCTGCCACTAAGCTACATCATATCCCAAACTTAAGATTACACTCTCTCCTTTTTTTTTGTTTTAGGTATTGGGATTGAACTCAGGGGTACCCGACCACTGAGCCACATCCCCAGCTCTATTTTGTATTTTATTTAGAGTCAGGGTCTCACTGAGTTGCTTAGCACCTCACTTTTTGCTGAGGCTGGCTTTGAATTTGCGGTCCTCCTGTCTCAGCCTTCCAAGTGGCTGGGATTACAAACATGCACCATTGCACCTGTTGGCTCCTAGGATTACATACTTCTGGGTTGAAATTATGGCCACAAAACAATATTTTCTGAAAATATTTGAGAATGAAAACGAACAATGAAGCAGCTAATCAAAATAGCTTCCATTTAGCTCAGGAATATATTTTGCTTTTGTGTAGCACATTAATAATATTCTGCTAAGGCAAATATTAAATTCATTTAAAATAATTATTTGAACATCAGTGGATAACAAGGAAAAAATGCCTTGTTATTTACATAAGAATATTTACCTAGTTCCACAAAGAACTTATAGTTGGCAGAAGATAAAACATTAGCTTTAAAATAAAGAAACTGTACCATTCACAAAATAGCTAAATTTATCAGTTTTCCTTTTTCTTTTTCTTTTGAGAGAGAGAGAGAATTTTTTTTAATATTTATTTTTTAGTTTTCGGCAGACACAACATCTTTGTTTGTATGTGGTGCTGAGGATCGAACCCGGGCCGCACGCATGCCAGGCGAGCGCGCTACCGCTTGAGCCACATCCCCAGCCCAAATTTATCAGTTTTCAAGTTCAAATTTTATAGTTTTCTACTCATTTAATCCCTCCCCTTTGCTATCACTGGCTTGTGTTCTGGGACCTCACCAGTTCCATTCTGTTTTGCACACCTGCATTACAAATCGAGGAGGCAGGCCATGGGGAAATACAGTCTTCAAATCCTGGAGGGGGATGGTATAGTGCTGGCCCTCCTGCTGCTCCCCATGCTTGGCCTAGGAAATAAAAATGTAAACAGCTGTAATGGGGACACACAAGTGATACTGACTTTACAAAGTGAATAGGGTCTATTAGACCACACTGGGGAAACACTCATTTCTCAGAGCTGGAAAATATCTTTTACTTATCTTAGTCAAAACTGCTGGTTGTTGTCTCTAAATCCTGTACATACTATAAGGTTGTAACCTGAATGATAAAGCCACTTGTTCAGCAAATAAACTCTAGATGTGGAGGTAACAGAGATAATTTTTGCCATCTGGATTCTTTGGTGGTGTGTATAGAGATGCTCCAGTCATGTGACAAAATCATCTGCATGCTGCTGTTTCCATAGAAACCCCAGATGAATTGGCAAGGAAAGGGACTACAATTATAGAAGAAGCTGAAAGATACATCAGTGACTTCATTCATTTATTCTATTTCATTCTGTGCTTGTGAAAAATAGATGAATGCTAGAGACGCATTTAAAATACATTCTATTGAGATGACATTTTGGATAGGGAGTTATTTTTAAAAAGTTTAATTAGTTAATTATTTATTGGTACTGGGGATTGAACTCAGAGGTGCTTTACCACTGAGCTACATCCCCAGATCTTATTTATTTGGAGACAGGGTTTCACTAAGCTATTGAGTGAGACTGGCCTTGAATTTGTGATCCTCCTGCCTCAGCCTCCCAAGCCATTGGAATTATAGGAGTGCAACACCATACCTGGTTTATTTTTTTAAAATTTCACACAGCCATATTAAGATTGGAGGACTCAGAGGGGTAGGTGCAGGGACAAAAAAGGTGTCATTTCCCTTCACCTTAAAGCACGGACCACACAACTAATTTTACTTATGAGAGGCAGCAACAACTCCGGGAAAGGAGAAAGGAAGTCGACCCATCTACTTTAATCGGACTGGAAAATGCAACTGGATCCTGCTGGAATCTGGATTCTGCTGATGAACTTCATTTCAGATGCCACTCTTCCAATAACAAATCAAGTCAGGTTTCTCTCCAGATACTTGGAAATCCATTTTAAAGGTGGAAAATAATACCAGATTGGTTATTAGGAAAACTGGGTTATTTACCTGCCCTGCTGTGCAGTTTTGAGCAAGTAGTTTGATTTTTTTAGGATTTTCCGTATGAGGATTTGGTAAGCTATGGCTGGTTGTTTTTTTCTTTTTTCCTTCTTTTTGGTACTGAGGATTGAGCCCATTAAGCTACATCTCCAAACCTTTTATTTTTTTTATTTGGAGATGGGATCCCACCAAGTTGCCCAGGTTGGTTTCAACTTGTGATCCTCTTGCCCCAGTCTCTCGAGTGCCTGGGACTACACACATGCACCACTGTGCCAGGCTGGTCATTATTTTTTTTTTCCGGGTCTGTGTGTGGTGGTGCTGGGGGTCCAACCCAGATCCCCATAAACACTAGGTAAGTGTTCTATCATTGAGGTACACCAGAGCTGGGCCTTGGTCATGTGTTTTGTAAATAAAATTTTATTGGAACACAACCACACCTAATTTGTTCATGGCGGCACTGAGTAACCGTGACAGACATATTCTAGCCCACAAGCTTAAACTATTAAGCTTGTCCTTTAAGGAGAATTTTGCCACCCTGCATACAATATCAATAACAATAATAAGTTTAGTACTTACTGAGTACTTTATGTTACCTTAATATCAGACAGGGACAGGGAATATTTGGGTTATAGAGATTTGAATATATGTAAAATTGCTTAGTTTCCTTAAATTTCAGGTTTCCTAATATGTAAAAAGAAGACATCAGCACAAAGTATAATTCATGAAATACCTCACATATACATTAGCAACTCACCGGGTCACTTTCATTAGTGCGGGAAATGGCTCTGGGACTCTCAATTGGAGCCTGGTTTTCTAGGTGAGCAGCAGCGATTCGGGGTGTCTGGGTCCCAGTGTGCAAAAAACATCTAGGATCCAACTATAAAAGAAAGCATTTTTAGTGTTTTGAAATTATTAGGCTTTTTATACTTGCTATAACACCAAGGATGTAAGCTGTATCTACAACAGGGAAAAAATGTCACATATATATATATATATACATATATATCTATCATACAACAAATACTAAGTACATGTGCCTACTAATAAATATTTCCTTAAAGAAATGTAATGAGGAAGTATATACAGCATCTAGCCAATGAAAACAAATTGCCTAATAGGCAATTTAATAAACTGTAGAGGAAACCTCCGAACTATTACGTATAGATTTCAACTTAAATTAATGGTATAAGGTAATAGGGTGTTCCAATTTTGTATGATTGTAAACTAGCTCCACAGTAGATGAAGCACATCAAATAGTCCTCTACATTTCTCTGCCTCCACTGTAAATAGTTTGGGGTCAGGTGACTACTTTTGGCTAAAGAGCTGTGAGTGGAAATAACTTGTGTGTCAGTTCTAGTCAAAACCAATTAAAAGTGGGTCTAAATTCTCTCCTTTTCCCGCTGAGGTGGCAACCTTAAAAGCTACATGTTACTGTGTGCAGTGGCATGCTTGTAATCTAAGATACTTCAAGGGGGAAGCAGGAGGATCATTGAGCACAGGATTTTATCCAGTCTGGACAACACAGCAAGACTGCCTTGGGGGGGCGGGCGCGGAAAAGAGCTACATGTTGAGAAGGTATCCCATGAAGATAAAACTTTGTCCCCAACCCTTATCTTGCCTCAAAACCCTTTGGAAATACAGGAACAGGAAAAAAGATCACTTACAGAGAACACAAAAACACAAACAAGAATTAAGGGCTTATTACCTCAATAAAGTAATGTGTCTAATCTACCTTTGTACTAATACTACTCATGTTTATGTACTGGAGAGAAAGCATCATGTCTTTTAAAAGTGGAAAACCAAAAATATTCAAAGGCCACTTGGTGGTGCTATTTCTACAGTAATCTGATGACTTTTTAGTTACACCTTTTCTAGCAAATTAAAAGATAAATGGATTCCTTAATTCTTAAGAGTGTTATAATTGGCATCACTCAGCTAATCTTGTTTTTAGGAAAAACAACCAAATATACAATTGCCTCTGCACAATTCCAGAATGCACATCATGCAATTCCTGCAAGAACAATATCGAATATATAAGATCAACTTGAACCAAACTAAAATCACCAACAAAATTCTTTTCTCCAATATCTCGTTATAGTCTAGTCTCAAGTGTTATCTGGTATTAAGGAAGCAATTTTAGCCTTGTAATATTCAGCTGGGACCAGAGTTCATTCTACTGTTGATCTTTGCTTTTATTTCATTTTATAATAATATGCTATTTTATGTATATAGACTTCTTCATAAATAAATCCTGGGGTTGGAGGTAGGAAGAGGAAAAAAATATACTGGAGGAAGCGCTCCTTTTTCTAGAGAATTTAATCTGTAATTACATGCTCTTCTGGCCATTTCTCATCCTCAGGATTTAGTTCTGGGAGGATTTCCTGTGGACTCAACTAATCTAGGTTAGGTGCTACTCCTGGGTGCTGCAACAGTACCATACCACACAAATTATTTATTCATGAATCTACTACTGGACTGTGAGGTTCTGGAGTATGTGGATCGTAAAGTACAATATGGCCCCATAATTAGGTCATAAGCTTTAAAGTCAGACAGATTTGGTATCTAGGCTTTATAACTTTGCAGCCAATTTCTTAGGTAAGTTACCTAGCCATTCTAATCTTTAGTTCCTACATATTTGAAATAGGGATATTATCTACTTCATGGGTTGCTCATGAGGATTAAAATAACACAGTTAACACAGTATCCAGCACATAATGAAATGCTCTCTAAATAGTAACTATAATAGTGAAATGAGCCATTTTAGAATTCTGAGTACCCGCCATATAAAAGGTACTGAAAAAGCTATTTTGGTAAATAAATGAAAGGAATGAAGTAAAGCCACAGATTGCTCCCCAATATATGATTTCATTCTACCATTAGATTTATAGGTCTAAATAGGCAAATTGTTTTTCTTTTAGATACTTCACTAAGGGAGATAATCATTAGTCCAATAAGAAAAAAATTAATAAGGATAAGTGCAATTAAACTTAACCTTTTTTTTCTTTTTTTTGGTGCTGGGGATTGAACCTATGGCCTTGTGCATGCAAGGCAAGCACTGTACCAACTGAGCTATATCCTAAGCCCCGTAACCATGTTTTTTGAAAAACATATCCTATCACACGGTAAATTCTCATGCACAACTATTCTACTGAGATCTGTTACCTGAAAACTTAGAGCAACTGGCAGTGAAGTTCATGGGTAGAAAATTGGAATTGTGCCTGTTCTTTTGAGTGCATACTTGTAAATTAAAATACTAGTCAGCTGAAGTTCTCCAGAGTATTTGTTCTGGATGTAATGAAGCTACCTAAAACCAAGAAATCTACCTACAGATAGTTTGCACAAAGTGTTCAGGTCTGTTAGGACTTACCCTCTGGCCCCTGGAGATAAGCTTTGTTATCCCATTCAGCATTGTCCCTGAACTCTTTAAAAAAAAAAGTAAAAAGGTAAGCCACAACTGGGAAAGATACCTGAAACATGCAAAAAAGACAAGGGATTAATATCTAGAATATGCATAAGAAAGTTTCCAGAAAAGGAAATATCAATGGTTAATAAACATAATAAATTTTCAATCTCATTACATTTCAGGGAGATGATAACTAAAATCCTGAAAACAAGATGACATTTACAATGACCATCATGGGAAACTGAAAAAGTCAGACAATAGCAAATGTTACAAGAGCCTGAGAAATACTGGGAATTTTCATACACTGCCACTGGGAGTATAAATACAAATACCTTGAAAAAATATTTGGGATTATCTTTGCAAAAATGAAAATGTATAACTCTGTGACCCTGATATTTTACTTCTTGGTGTTTATACTAGAAAAACACATACATGTGCAATGAGTGAGAACTATTACATCTAGCATGATATAATTTCATTCATTATTTGGGGGATATACTCATATGCAGTAGAACTGAAACAAGTGAAATGGAAGAAAAAAGTTAAAAAAAATGGTTACTCTTAGGAAGGAAGGAAAGGGAAACAATTGGGGAAGGATGCACAAATGCACACAATCATCAGGTAATGATCTATTAACACTAGATAATGGATAAATGAGTATTTTATTACTTTATGTTATGTGTTATATTTATTTATTTTTGTTATAAATTTTAAATATAGGGGTTGGGGTTGTGGCTCAGCGGTAGAGCACTCGCCTAGCATGTGCAAGGCCCTGGGTTCGATCCTTGGCACCACATAAAAATAAATGAAATAAAGGTATTGTGTCCAACTACAACTAAAATATATATAAAAGGAAATTTTAAATCTAAAAACCTCAATCTTTCAGGAGCCAAATGATGCGTATGCGTGTGTGTGTGTGTGTGTGTGTGTGTGTGTATGTGGTTTTTTTTTTTTTTTACTGGGGATTGAACCCAGGGCTTTGCACATGCTGGGCAAGTGTTCTTTCATTGAAGTATACCCTCAACTCTTAAAGTTTAGAATACAATATGCCCTCTGCCCCTTTTACATAAGGAACCAAGATCTCCAGTGGATGCCTGAAACCAGAAGTACCAAACCATATAGATACTGTTTTTTACACACACACACACACACACACACACACACACACCCCTATGATAAAGTTCAATTCATAGTAACAGATTAACAACTAATAATTGAAAAGAACAATTATAATAATATAATGTAATGTTATGTGAATGTAGTCTCTCTCCTTCTCAAAATATCTTACTGTGGAACTGGGGGCAAGGCCAGCGGTGGACTACTTGCCTACCATGTATAAGACCATGGATTCAATCTCTAGCACCCCTCAAAAACAAAAGAAAACAAAACCCAGGCTTACTGAATTTTCACTTAAAGAAAGAATCCGACAGCTTTTCTTTGGTACATCTGAATTGCCAGCATCACTACTCTTGCACTTAGGGACCGTCATTAAGTAAAATAAGCATCACCTGAAAAGAAGCACTTCAACAATCAGGACATTCGGTCTCCTAACTGAGATGGCTACTAAGTGACTGATGGGTGGGTAGCGCATGTATTAGTATTACAGTTTGGATATACTAGACAGGGGGATGATTCAGTTGTAGGAAAGCAGAAAATTTCATCAAGCTTCTCAGAATGGTACACAATTTAAAACATGCAAACTGTTTATTTTTGTAATTTTTCATTCAAGATTTTTGGATCATGGTTTAACTTGGGTGACTGAAATTACAGAAAGTAAAACCACTATCTCGCCCTGATAGAATAAATTATTCTAGATGGTTAATTCATTTTGCTTAATCATTTCCACCTTTCTTATGACCAAAATTCTTAAAGCAACAACAGGCTGGGCACGGTGTATGCCTATAATCCTAGTGAGTCAGGAGGCTGAGGCAGGAGGATGGAAAGTTCAAGGACAAGTCTTAGCAAGTCAGCAAGACCCTCAGAAACTTTTAGTGAGACCCAGTCACAAAATAAAAACTAAAAAGGACCAGGGGTGTAGTTCAGTGGTAGAGCATCCCTGGATTCAATCCCCAGTTGGAAATCAAAAACCAAACCAAACCAAACAAAACAAAAAAACCCACAAAAACAACAGAAAACAAACAAACAAAAAAACCCCCACTAATAACAAAGTCAAGTTACTGTGTGCCAAGTACCATGGTGAACACAATGGTAAACAAACTGTTAATAGCCTCTAACCTAATACTATTTCCTTTGAGTTTTACCTCCTTTTAGTTTTCAAGTTTACTTTTTGATAAAAATGACAAGGATTCCTTAATTTGTTCATTCAAGAAACACATAATGATGTGCTTCTGCATGCTTATATCATACAGAGTACATAGTGGTAATATATATATATATATATATATATATATATATATATATATATATATATATATATAT